TAATATTGTTTTAGAGGTTCTTGAGTGTCTGACCCAGCCTCCAGCTGGTGACCCAGAAGGGAGTAGATTTCCTGTAGTTCCTGAGCGACGGCAGGCCCTGTGTGGCTGTCTTAGATACTGTAGGGCACCGGATTCAGCTCAAATTAAGACGTGTAACTTTTTTGAGTTTTAGTTTTGTTTTGACTAAAACCAGATATAACTGTAAATGTGCACTTCAAACAACAGCAGGTTTTGAGTGACTGATCCCCAAGTTATTTGTCCAAAGCATATTATAAGAAAGCTGCACATAAACGTGACAGAACTGAATAAAGTCAAAGGGCTTAGATAAACAGACTTTCATACTTCAGAACCATGGATCTCTGCTAAACAGAATTTATGGCAGTAGTATCTGGTTAAAATATGAAAAGACAAAAAAAGTCTGAAAAGATTTGTTTGATTTTTTAAAAAATAAATAGCTATGTAGCTTCTTACACGTGTCCATCAATATACTATCAGAGGCTTTTAATTAATTTGTAACAAAATACTCAATTTCCTTTTGTGTTTATTCTCTGGGCACATCTGAATAACTGAGTTTTATGGAAAATGAGTTTCAAAGACATGTTAGAAATATTAATTGTAACTGAATGTTTAATGTCCCTTTTTATAATTTTTTTTTTCTGGAAATGACTGTGACTGCCTGGTTTCCTAAAATACAGAACATCATCTGTCTTTGCTGACTAATTACTGCTGCAGTGTATGTTTCTCTCTTGTTTGAAAATATTATTATTCCAATTTTTCTATTTCCTACAAAAAAATCCCCCTACAACTTGTCTACTTATCTGAGAGTATAAAATTCCAGAAAGCTTGATTTACGTGCAGATATTTCATGGGCAAAAGCAGGTGAAATCCCAGTAGTGAAACACATTTTAGCATGGTCTCACTGGCTGAAAGAGAGTTGCAAACCCATCAGTTTTTGTTCAAAGCCTGCATTCATCCAGACAGTATGTACTTTGGAGAAACAGGCTGCTTCTCTCCATGGCTTTCCAACTGTGGAAAAGTTGATACTTGCAAAACAAACACATAACTTGTATGTTTCACAGATCTCATGAGATGTCTTAACCATCTTTAAAGAGGTAGCTGAGATAATAACAGATTAATCATAACAGATTAATCACCTAATTTTATATAAGTACTATCAGCGTAAGATATTTTTGCAGTCAATAAAGAGAACTAGGCATTTGCAGCGTGTAATTCATTTGACATTTTGGACAGTCTTGTTAGGGTGAATTGTACTCTAGATATGCCTCCACTAGTTATGAAGGGAAACCAGATGACTAGCAAGACACAGAAATCTAGATTGTAGAGGTCAATCTAGAAGCAGGAAAAAAAAAGATGTAAATTAGGAATTTGCAATGAAAAAAAAAAGGTTATTACTTTCTGTCTGATTTGTTCTAGAAAATTTATCAATGCAAATACAACGAAGTGTGTAAAAGCAAAAGGTCCAGATTTCCATCTGATGTAGATCAGGGTATATACATCAAAGTCGGTGAAGGTACACCAGTCTGATCTAGCTAAAGGTATGGCCACTGTGTGGATGTATTCAGAATCTTTTTTTGAACAGTTGCAATATGGGAATAGGAATTCAAAGTAAGTTTACTTAAATCTTAAAGTTAGGTTTTATAAAGCTTGGGTTTCCTTCGATTTCTCTTGCAATAGCATAAACTCCCTAGGTAAAGGCTAAGCATATGAAAGATTTTTCTTAGGCTTATTGTCTCAGCTTTTCATTTGATCTTAAAGAAAGCCTTAGGTAAAAGTGTGCTGTGTTATGGTTAGAAAAGTCAAGATTCAGAACGTGGTGTTCGTCTTACTCTGGTCTTGCTCTGATGTAGCTCTGTAGATTGCCATTCTGTTCTGATTGTTGTATTGACTTCTGATCAGCCAGCTGTTGCCTAAGGTTTTTCTTTGACAGGCAGGGACAGCAGGGACTGAAAATGCTTCTTCATATAAAGGAGAGTTAAAATGGAAAAAATCTCAGAGTCAGAGGAAAGAAAAGTGCCTTAGTTTATCTCCCTTTAATACTGTATTCCAGTAGACAGACAGATGGACTGAGAGATTCCTGACAGACATAATACTGTCCTCCTCCATAATACTTAGGCTCCTTTGGGAGGTTATCCTTCTACTTTTTAGAAAGCGTTTCCTCATGTTTCCTTTATGATTCCACAATCTTTCCCACATCCAGTATTTTTCTTCCTGTCTTCAGGGACTATAAGGAAAAGAAGTGAACGTGCAGTAGATTTTTATATATTTGAAAATTATGATCATGTCTCCTAAAGGGTGGGTTTTTTTTTTTTTTTGTTTATTTGATTTGTTTTTTTCCCAGACTTAATAATTTTTTTCCACTGTTTTCTAGTATTTTGTTACTACTAATTGTTCTTTTTCCTCTCATCTGGTCATTGCCTACCTAACCCACATTTTTTCCTCAATTAGAGTGCCCAGCACTTGATGGTATGTTTGTGGCCAGGTCAGACTGGTATTGAATGGAGAGCAAGATTACCTAGCTGACATTTTATTCTTATGTTCTCATATAATTGTACCAATTTGGGCAACAGTTAGACACTCCTGATATAATATGCTATTGATTCTGATGTTCTTGAACAACCTTTGTTGCTGGTGCACAAATGCTGATGGAACCTAATAGCTTAAGAGGCTTATTGAAATTTGGAGTGCATATTTATGGCAGACTAGCTACTATAACTGCACATATATTTTTTCCTTTATGTAAGGATAGATTTTGAAAGGATTTAAAATGTGGTAGATCATATGGTTTTATGTTTGATGGGATGGAAAAGAGGAAGAAATACTTCCCCATCCCCTACACAGCAACTCTCCTTCACCTTGCTTAAGGCAAAGTGACATGCTGAAATGGGAAAGGAAACAACTCCACTGAACAAGGCACATGGTGAGAATGTTACTCCACATTCATGAATAGAAGAGGGTTGCTTCACTATACTTGGCCTGATTTCAGTCTCAAAATTGGAAAAAATATTCCACAGGAGATACTAGGAACAGTACGAATTTTGACTTTGGAAAACAAATGAAAAAGCAGAACAGCAACGTAAACAAATCCTAAGGGACATAAGATATTCAGCTCCCATAAAAATTCAAGATTCCTTTGGAAGAAGTTCTGGCTGTCTAAAGAAAGTTTGTTTCTGAAATACAGCTTGGCAAGTATAATTCAGCTGGTTTGTTATAGAGAGGCAAGGTATGGGTTCCAATGAGATTAAATCCTGGTGTTGTGATTGCCTGTACTTGCATCTGTCATCCAAATGCGAAGAGTTTTCTTTAACAAGAGCAAATAATGTGATTTACACTGTTCTGACTAGTGCTGACCCGATTAAAATAAGTGGTTGTACTTCTGCTGCTGAAGCAGGTAACGCTTTCCTCATATTTATTCATTGTTTAACAGTTTGGGGGTAAAATTTGTGATCCCAGGAAATGACTGTTGTGAGAATTTGATATGGAGTAAAAAGTAATTTAAGGGAAAGTATTAAAAATCAACTAAAACCAACAACAGCTGTAGTAATTGTTCCACTTGCATATTCAACAGTCCCTAATGTGTCAAAGTATTCTGTATTTCTCTGTATAGACATATCTAACAACCCCCAAAAGAGTGGAGAGACAGCTTCTACAGGGTCACTACTTCCTTACACAAAAGGTGAAGGGATAGGCAGAGAGCAGGTTACCTTTTACACTCTACCTCCCCTTAAATACACTAGTTCACATTTTTATGTCCAGGATTTACAAGATAGAATTATGTGCATATACAGGGTGTGATACAGGTACTGTGAATCTATCATGTCTGACTTACTCCTGCACATGGAACACATCTGGATAGCACATTCACTATAATTAAAAATGATCTTGATTGCATCAACTTATTTTACTGTTGATGTGGCATCCAATTCTAATGTCACTTCTTATCCATTATCTCCAGAAATCCAGGAACCAAATCAAACAGCACGATGTCCACAGATTCCAGAAAATTCAGAAAGCTTTCAAATTCTGTTCAGAAAAAAAATTTCTGCATGATGGGAGGAAAACACAAAATCATGCATGGCCATGTAATAGCCTTGCTTATCAGCAAAACATCCTGAGCCTGTACAAAATAGAACATAATGTATTGTTGGCACAAAGCATAGTATTATTTTTTTTCCTGGAAACTCTTGTCAGAAATCTTGCCTGGGTGTTCTTAAAAGTTCAGTTTCTTGAATACTTACATATTGATCGTTTTCACACAATTTTTTCATAGTAAAGAAGTCCACAGTCACATAAATTTTGTCATTAGTGAGGAGAGAAAGATAGTAATGACCTTTGCAAAAGTATAAATAAACAGGTAATATTCTTACTTATACTGTAGCACAGGTAATTACATGTTATACAATACATGTAACACATTATTCAGTTGTAATATTCAATACACATTTATCTTTCCTATTATTTCACAGCAACTTGTATACCTCTGAATTTTTAAAAGCTTGCCTTACACAAATAAATGCATTTAAAAGTTATGGTCTCAGATTAGTCAGAAAACAGGGGCAAAGAATAATGTGAAAATATATTTAAAAAAAGGCTCTCTCTTGAATTTTGTTACTTGTGAGTTTTATATTGGAATTTTTAAATAGTTCACTGTTAGATAAAAAGGACTAAACAGAAAAAAGATTAATAGTTGTTTTTCGTGCTTTATTGTTAAACTATTGAACATAAAAATAAATCTAGATTTTTCATTGAAATATTACACAAATTTCAGTTAATTCTCCTGTATCCTTTTGTATGCCTGAGGCAACTGCTGAAGAGCTTTGAATTCTGAGGCTTCTCAGACCTACAGCTGAGGAGCACAGTGTAAAGTGTTTTGTGCTATTGCATGTTTCATAGGCTGTCACTTTTTTTTTTCCTTGATCCTTCTTATTTGTTTTGTCCTTTTCTAGGTGTTAATGTTTATTTCTTTAATTTTTTTTATTCAGCAAGGCTGCTCTAGGCCTCATGTAAACATCCAGGAGTGCTTCCCAAGTACCAGGCATCGCTTGGGTGAAACTGACCATGAAGGAAATTGCTGGATTTCAAAGGGTAAGATCTATCCTCCGCTTGCCGAATGAGCCTTGCTAAACGAAGAGGCACCAAAGGAAAAAAGGAGGGTTTATGCACAAATTACTCTACAATGCCTCCATTTCTCTAGAGACCATTTTTAATTATGAAACAATTATAATAGCAGCCTCCATAAAGCTGTTTCTGATCTGTCAGCAGCTCCCTACAACTGAATTTTTAAAATGCTTAGCAGTAGAATGGCAAGAATTTTATCTGTTTCAAAGCTGCCTAATTTGACAGAAGAGATGGATGAAACCAGTTTCCATTGCTGGCATCCTCCTTCCCTCTCATGCATCCTCACTGAATGCTGACAGTAAAACATTGATACTTGACATGTCCTGCTTGTGCAAGAACAAGGTTTCTGAGGGTGCTAGAGCTGACAACAGTATGCAGAGAATTAAAAAAATAAAAATAAAATAAATAAAGTGACTGAACATAAGTGTTCAAAATCTAATAGCCTGAGGCAGAAAGTCAAGATATTTTCCCACTCTGAAGGGGAAAGGGAAAAAAACAGTGTTCGATTTTTCCAGAAATATTCTGGAAGACAAATCTTATTATCTGCAGTCTGTTTGCCAGAGTGTAGATTTTAAATCAGTTTTTAAAATGATACCTTAATTTTTCAGCAGGGTGAATACCCTGATGAAACCTCGATCTTAAGCTAACAAATGAAGTATTCACTAACACGTTGTCACCTTGAGCTAACCAAGTTATCTGAAGTTAACTAAGCTAACTGCAGTGGGTTCTGGATAAAGGCCCATTGCTGCAAAGGTGAGTGGCAGCTGTTTGTCTCTGATTCCTATAAACGCCATTCTGCCACAATCTCCATTGTGTTTACCAGGGTAATGACACTTTATACCTCAGAAAATCAAGCATAAAAAAGCACTCAAAAATCAGGGCAATTACAAGGCATGTCTGTTTTGAAGACTTTTGGCCTTAATTGCCAGGATATATTTTGGAAAAACATTTTTGGAGAGAAAGCTGTTATCTGACGTTTCAAAATTCCAACATAAAAAATGTAATACCTGTGGGGGGAAATATCAACATTAAGAAGAGAGAAGATTAAAAGTGACTAAGTCAAAAAGTCTATTAGCTATGGAAAAAGAAAATAATGCAAACAGCTAACTCAATTTCATTTTACAGCTTAAAGTCTGTGTTTACAGAAAAGTTCCTTCTGTTGCTTTTCCATAGGCTCTTTATTCCCGTCAGGTGATGAACAGAGGATGAACAGCTTATGGACCTTAGGTTATGGGCATAATAAATGTTCAAAACACTTCCAAAATACATGCAAATGACAAAGGTAAGACTACATACCTAAGAATAATTTATAATCCATTTATAATCCCCACATCAGTCAGAACAATGTAACAGCAGCAGAAGTTCATTATGCACAGGAAGAGACCAGAATTTGACAGCTTTCCACTACAGTTTGCAGGAAAAGGAATGTTATCTTGATGTTTCACAGTAAATGTTCTCAATGATACACCTCCTGGAAAGCTGTCAGTTAGCACACATCATTACCCTGCATTTCCTCTTTCCAAAGAAAGAAGAAAACTGCTGAAAATAAACTGACAGAATAGTGTTAGTTTTCAAACAACAATCCTCTGCTCCTTTTAATGATCACATTTCTAATATACCAAGAAGGGCACAGTTTCTTGCCAAGTATCCTGTTGGTGTTAAAGGAAGAGCCTGGCAACACTGAAACATCAAAACAATTTAAGGACAGGACCTAATTTATTAATTTGATTTCCTACCTGGAGGGCACTGATGAGGTTTTTTTAAATATTTGTGTCTTTGTAGGATCTGTGGAAAGCCATATGTAATGGCTGTAATAGCAGTATAATGTGAAACTTCTGTATAGGCAGAAGTTCTTATGGCTTTTTGAGATGACCTTTAAATTTTAATAAAACAATGTGGTTTACATGGGAAAAAAAGTTCAGGTGAAACAAGTAAAGAAGTGATTGATTTGGATTTAGGTCTGGTTATTCTGCATTGTATGAAGTGTATAAACTCAGGCACAGTTATCGAGGCATTAAGAAAGGTATGAAGATAATTTGTCCCAGAGGCTCCTAGGCTCATGCTAGCTTACTACAAAGTGAAACCAAATAAAACAAAGATGCCCAATTTATCCTGAGTGTAAATATTAAAAATAATGTAACTACTCTGCTGCTAACTGTAAAAATATATAGCTAAAGGAAAAATGAAAAACATCATAAGAGGATGCGCAGAAATGTTTCACTTGCAAAGGCAAACACTTGAATAATCACATTTTAATTTTTTTATGCAGCTTTACTCCTGAGTGAGACAACAGCCTGTGGTAAACGCATGTGATCCTGAAGTTGAAGATCATGCCATGTTGCGTAAGTATAATGACACAAGAATTATAATTGTCCAATTAAGTATAAATCTACCATGTCCTAACGTTTGAGTCTTTCAACCTAAATAACCCTTCTTTAAGCTTAGCATTATGTAATTTATTAAGATTTATATTTAATGAAAAATGTTTTAAAGCTATGAATGTGTTTTTCACAATGTAATGTGGAACTAAATTTAATTTGCAACGTCTTAGCATCCGGGGAGAAACATGGAATTTCTGTGCCATGTTTATTGATGTGTTACTGTTGTTGTGTTGCTGTTTACTTGTCAGGTTAAAACATTAATACTAGCCTATGGTTTTTCAGGAATGCATGCACAGAAGGACAATTGTTGGATTTTATAATGCATGGGAAACTAAACATTCCTTATACTGGGGAAATGAGGGGAAGGTGATTGTTTCCTAGCCTGAAGGTTTTGCCCTATCAAAGTTCACAGGCTTTCTGCAAACAAGAACTAAATGGATATATTACATCTTGAAAACTTCCAGTCAGCTTTTAATTTACCAAACAAAGATTGGCCTTTTAGATTCCAGAGCAGAAAATACAGTAAATCTTGTCAAAGAAATATAAAGGGTAAATGACACAGCCCTGATCTTCTGATCTGTCTAATCTGTGCTCTGCATTTACTTTCGTATTGTTGCCAACTGTTTTGGACCTCTCTCTGCGATTCCTTTTATTTTGGTTTCAGAAGTAGTTAGATTCAGAAGGTATGATCGTTGGTGATGGTACAGACTGCTGGATAACAGCAACCATTCTATCATTTCTTCCTACGTGGAGATAATCTTCTGTGAGGGCCTTGATGGCTGGGGAAGGCAGAAGGCAGGCTCTGCCACCTCAGCAATCTTCAACTGATGGGGAAATATTATACTCCTCCCTGTTAAAACACTGGAAATAGTGCTCAAGCTCCACAACAACATGGATGGAGATGTTTAAGAATCAATCTTCAGTTCTAAATTGTGATTCAAACAATAATTCACATCCAACAATGATTAATGTTAATTTAATCATCCAGCCTGTACTTTGCCACTATTACAAATCCAAAATTTTCTTCTCTCATACCTTGGGGCTCTATATTAGTGGTAGGAAAAACCTCAACAGTTATTGTCAATCAGTAGCAGAACACTATATCTTTAAAAGGATTTATGTAGAGATTGGAAAATAGACTGTATTATTGATGGCATAAATCTACCAGAAAATTTCAGATACAGGCAAGTTCATAAAAATCATCCATGTGTGTTGACATTTTATATTATAATGTGACAAGAAAAGAACGTTTCTTCATTTGAAGATATCCATCCGTAACTGATGATGCATGCAATTTATGCTACTGGGGGCCTGAATTTAACCTTATATTTCAGCTTTAAAGTACAAAGATTATAATGGATTTTTTCCTGATTTAGATCTAGTTTTTTGATCATTAGACCTTGCTTCTTTAAGATGGCTAGAACTTTTTTTTTTTAATTAAAATAACAACTGTGTAGTGCTCTAAAGATTTTGAACTTTAAGCTTCTGTGCATTATAGAATCCATTTTTATTCCAATTTATCAGCATGCCTCTCATTAACTAAGATTTCCATTTGATTTCTAGCCACTTGTTTTATTTAGGACACAAGCCTTGCTGAAATGCTTTTCTCCTGAATTTAGATCAGAAGAAGGAAAGCATGCTCAATCAAAAATCTTTTTTACACTTCTGAAATAAAAAGAATTTTGAAAATGAGAATAGTAGACAAGCTATCTGTCTTGCTGATCTTACATTGCCAAACCTTCAGAGAGTTCAAAATGTTGTATTAAAGGATGTACTCCGTTCCCTTTAGCTGTTTAGCTTTGTAACCTAAGGTTATAGTGTAAATGTCAGTTCCCTTAATTCTTCCTGCCAGCTCTTTTAATTATTTTATGACCAATGATTTTTATGTAATGTTTCCAGTTACAACTTTAAAATTCCTTCCTAACTTGTCCAACATGGGAATTTTATATAAAAATTAATAATGTAAAGGATTCAGTATTGATTGTTCCACTCAGGATACTGTGTTCTTCTTCGACTCCCCAAACTCACATCCAGCTACTCAGGAACAGAAGTTTTGCTTGTCCAGCTAACTTCAGCTGTGAAGCCAGCATGTCATAACAACTCGCAGTGTCATGTTATCACAGCAATAATAGGATCACTGGATTTTAGCAAAAGCAAAATGGATACTAAAGACATTATCATGATAGGAAACATGCTGCTTCCATCTTCTTACATGGCAAGAAAAACATCTCAGTTAAAATGCAAAATAAACAATATTCCAGTGTTCTTTTGGTCAGAAGACTGAATTTTTTTGTTTCAGCCAATACAGAGAAATGTTAGCTCTACTTTCAAGGCCAGAACTTGTTTATGCCCAGCTCACTTTGTGCTCACTTACAGAAACTCAGATCTGTCTGCCTTCATACATATATGCTTACTATATCTTGAACCATTTTCTTCTGTGTGGGGCTTTATAGGTTGGAGGAAGGATCAAAATCATAGCAACTGTTCTCTCTCATGATAAACATATTCTGATAGATCGTCATCAGCTACCAGGTCTTCTACTGTGCTTTTGTCCTGGGAAAGATGACATAAGGCACAGATTTTCTGGGGGGAAGCTCACAGAATATTTGCTTTTGCCATACCAGGATCTACTTCTGTATCACTTGAAGACCTGGTGGCTGAGTCTCTACAGTTTTCTCCTCCTTCAGTTCAACTAAGGTAGGACTATGCTCATCTTTCTGGCGATAAATCTGACTACGATATTTTGCATCTCATCTATTAAAAATTGCTAGAAAGCGTGTAATTTCTTGGTTTACGGACTGAAAACAACAATTACAACCACAAGTATCTCCTATCATGTCTCTTTATCTGGGTTTGCACTTGCTTGTATTTTTTAGAGCCCTGTTTTCATATTCTCATCTGTATCTTTCACAGCATAAATAGATAAAACTCATATTCAAGGGGTATTTGATTCTGTATTTACAAGATACGGGCTGAACTGTGAGGCTAGAGTTGTTGGGTGCTGAAGATGGCAACCAAGGAGCAAAGAGAATTAGTCTCCAATATAGCTGGTGAGACACCCATATTGCAGGACTTATTCCTTTTCCATTATACATCTCCTTTCCACGTCTGTTCTTTTTCTTCTTGTGCAAGGTAAAGCAATTCTTTATGGGACCTACTGGAGAACTTCAGTATTTTAATGACTGATGTCTTAAGGAGAAATTAGCCTGACTTTATTCACCAGCCAGTCATCCTTGAAGTAAAACACAACAAAATAAATATTCCTCATGTTGTACCAAAAGAAACTAGAGTAAAACCAACAGAGCAGTTCCTTTATATTCAGATGCTAAGGGAAACAGAACCATCCTAATGTGCCAAGCAGCAACATGAGCTCAATGAGCTGATAATTCTGTAAGCATTTTTGCCACTGCATCAAGAAATGGTTGCTATGGAGAGAAGCTGGCTGTTAAAGTGACTATAAAGCAATCTTTCTTTCTTTCTTTCTTTCTTTCTTTCTTTCTTTCTTTCTTTCTTTCTTTCTTTCTTTCTTTCTTTCTTTCTTTCTTTCTTTCTTTGTTTCTTTGTTTCTTTGTTTCTTCTTTCGTTTTCTTGAAAGACCTTATGTTTTGCACTTTTTGAAATTAAAACACTTTGCTTTTCTTAAGGAATGAAAAATGTTGCAAAGCGTGGATTGGACTTGAGTCAATGAGAATATAAAACAGTAATACCTACCTTATCAAAAACCTATGCAAAAACTTCTCATTCGTTGCAATTTCCACTAAAGCTATGGGATATATATGTCTTGTTCCTCACTGTCCCCTAATTTCTCTACAATTCCTGCTGCCCATTTGATATCCTGATTGCCTAAGGATAAACGTACTCTTTCTCATCTGTTGATGTGGTTGAACTGCTTTCCTTTCAGTATTATTAAGCCAATTACTTATATCCAGCTCCTATTGACTGCTCTCAGGAGACAGCCTCTGATGTAGTGAAAATATGAGCTACTGTTCTGCTGTGAGTGTATTATCTGAAATATGATGCCTATGATGCAGCTATGGTCAGTTTTCTATTACATGCAATGGAGGTGAACTCACTGTTTGCTGTGATATGTAGACCTTTGCAATCAAATATATTGCAGATAGGGAAAAAATGTTACTACCTGAATTTCAACTCGTTACTCTATTTTGCTTTCTTTTTCTATGGAACTTTCTCTTGCATAGAGATCAGTACTAGTAACTTTTTAATTTAATGTATGTGCATTTTTCATATTACTAATACTTAATATTTAAATGTACCTTAGTATTCATAGAAAATTGTAAGCCTCTGCTTAAAGGTGACTATTTGTGATGATTCAAATGCAGTCATCTAATAGCCATGGACTTAATTCAGTAGAAAATCTACAGATTTCCAATTCTTTCAGTTTTCAAATGACCCCTTTTAGGACAGGATAAATCTGTATTCCTATGTGCTTGCTTTTGTGGCTCATGCCATGAAAGAAGTCAGATTAAGAAAAAAATGAAAACAGCTGCAGCTAAGAATAAACACCACATCTTTCCAGAGGTGGTCCTCTAGATGATTCTATGCACCTAATAATATATTTAAAGCTGAACTAATGGAATAATAGTAATTTCTAACTAAAGAGGTTTTATTGCTTTATTACCTGTTTGTTCTCACTGACTGGTCTCAGAGTTACAGGATGCCAGTAAGGAAATGTAAGAGATATATATCTATATATCAAGATCTAAGGAAGCAACCACACCTAGAATTCAGTAGCTGTTGAAAAGAAACTATTAGTTATCCAAATAAAAAATTCCTAAATAATGGATGCTCAAAGAACCTGTATCACTTCTTTCAATTTTTCAAATTGCTTTTATTGTTTTCTTCGGAGAGTATTGGTGTTATTCAGAAATACAAAATTCATATCAGGGCTTGATCATGTGGATCAACACTAGGAAGGATGCTGGTGTAGGATGGTTGGCACATGGTGAGTAAAACTACCCATCCGTGGCAGAAAGGACATGAGTAGAGAAACGGTGTGGATACCGTTCCAGCTTTAATGGTCTAGATCAAGTCATTTTGTTTCTTATTACTTCCACAGTATTGTTAATCTAGAGGATCTTCTTTTAGGGATAGATCGTTTCTTTTTCTCAGCACTATAGACTTGCTAGCAATCAATAATGTTACTCTTACAGTACCCTGTGTGGTCCACTGCTAGAGCTCCACAACTGGAGTTTGCACTGCTGTAATAATTTTCTTGCTATATTTTAAGCAATGCGGTTGCATAGTAATCTGAACTGTGAAGGATTGTATCTGTTTTATCAAAAAGCTTTACTAAACAGAATGCATTTTCACTTTCCATAATGGTGGGATATATATGAGCATATACACACATAGCGTATACGTGTGTGTGTGTGCATGCATGTTTTGTGGTTTATATGCAAATGTCTGTATTCTGCAATAAATAACTGGGAAAAAACATATAAATATTGCTTGTTCTGTGTCCCTTTGAAAAGATATTTGCATTATGAAATAAGCTGTTAATGTTAAACTAAGAACAAATGAACTATAACTGTTCTACAGACACAGCATAATCATTAATATCTGAATGCACTTCATATAACCCTAGTTACCTGTCCTTCTCTCGTGTTGTCTTGATCGCCTTCCCCCCCTCACTTTTCCTTTCATTACATGGCTTCAGAAAGTCTTTTCATGAAGTGGAGGCAAATGAATACTTGATCTTGTCATCTTTAAACAACGTGCTTGAAGGGATTACTGAAATTTATTTGATCCTTTTCATGACTTTATTATAGATGCAATAAAAGCATATATAGCCTTCCAAAGAATTCTAGGGAGCTCCCTCATATTAGGCTGCCATTAGGCTGACTTTAAAACCTAAACTGTAGGTTGCAGTATATGTCTATGCATATAAACTATTTATACTGGTATCAATATGGAGAAGATTAAATATTTTATTAAGATAAATATATGACTTTAAAAAAAAATAAACCAAAACCTACTATCTCCTATATGGAAAATGTGATAATTCTCAGCAACCAATAAATTTTTCTTTTATTTTTAGTATCCTTATTTCACAAAATTTTGGGAAGATCATTGCTGTTCTACCTCATGGCTTAAAGGAAGGGGGAAGAAGCTCGGACATCACCTGTGAGACTGCTCAGCTCTTATTGGAGCTCCATGGTGTTGGATGCAGCTAAGAGCAACTCAAAGAGTCAGATGAAGATGCCAAGAGGTAAATGTCAGCATTCTTGTTTCATTTTCTATCTTGTGAATATCCCTTGGTAAACTGCAGTCCCGAGTTTGTGAAGGAAATGTCTGGGGAGACATTTTGAGTGCCTTCTCTGATTTTTGCAGTCCCTTGAGTGAAACCTTGGGGAACAATTATGATAGGCAAAGCTTAGCTTCAGATCTCGCTCTACTCTTTCACTTCGAAATATCTAAATGATTCTTTATGATCTATGTCTCTTTATGAGAGACACCTTCTCTGGTATAATAGTTTGGCTAGTTTGTCTTTCTTTGTGCTCAGTTGTGTCTAGTTGTCCATCCATGTCAGTAGTCTTACAAACTCCTTCATGGAATACTTTGGTGATGCTGTAGAATCCATAGATTTAAGATCTTAGAGAGGTTTCATGCCTGCATACTGGAAATTCACCTCTTAGACTAATACACTTCTACACCAGAAGCCTTTCTCAAAACCAGGATATTGGATATCATATCTTATAGTAGGAAGGATGATGATGAAAACATTAGATTCCCAAACTGAAAAATGGTAAGAGTTCTATTTGTTCTTTTTTACAACTACTCTGACAAGATTTTGCTCAAAAGATGATTCTGTTGGGAGTTAATGCAATATTAGTCATAGATTTTGAGTTAATGGCCTTTGAAGAGATGTTCTCTGTACTTTACTTGAATTTTATTTTTAAATAGGTAGATGCTGTAGAATTTCCTCACTCGCTTGTTCAGATCTCATCAGGTTCTGCTCAAGGAACGGTGGTTCTTTTCTTTCACATTTGCAAATATCTTTTTTTTTTTCGTTCTCAGTGCTAATTATTCTACATTTTAAAGACGAGAAGACTGAGAAGTATCACCAGTCACAGGAACATTTTTGTTTGTCTAGCTTGCTCTGTTTTAAGATTAGTCATATTCTTGTCCTTTATTTTACTCCCATCCTGTGTGTTCTATTTATGAAGTAAGAAGATTAAAAGCAGACAAGCAGATCAGCTTTCCTGGTGAAAATGACTGCTTTACCTTCTGGGTATAAGCATTTCTTAAAAATCTTATAAATAATTATGTTTATAAAACAAATTCATTGCAAAAACTGTTTTATAATCCACTGCAATTCATTTAAGAATCTACAGTTATTATCAATTCAATTTTATAAACACTAAGGTTACAAAAAATCAGTTTCTCTTTTTAACCTTACTCATACTTTAATTCCTATAGAATCCTGCCTCAATGGACCAAAAATAATTTGTCAAGATCAGAGAAAGTCACCTGTCAGTATAGGTGAATGAGAAACTATAATAGCTGGGCAACTGGTAAGAAGACACATTCTAGGTTCTTGTTTTATTTATTTATTACTGCTTCATTCTGCTCTCCGCCTCTGCCTCCCCAAATGACACAGAGTGCTCAGGATCAGTACAAATCCCTGTTCTGCTGTTTCAGTCAGCCTTGCCCTGAGCTAGAACTAATTCAGGGAGGGAGATTGTCCCTTTAATCCATAGCTGCTCTACTAGGATTACTATCTGCAGGTCTCATGTGGAATACTGCCCACTGCAAATTGAATACGTATGAAATGATTCTCCATAAATGTCTCACAGTCCACTAAACAACTATGAAACAAAATTAGCTTTTCTTCATTACTAGCTCAAATCACATTCAAGCCAGAATATTGCGAAAAATCATTCCTGATTAACAATTTTCTGACCCATCTACTATGCCCCAGCCTGGTTCTTTTATGCAATTGATCTAGGGTTTTTTTTTGTTTTAAAGAATAGTTTCTGATTTGGGTAACTAGCATCTGAGAGAAACTCTCAAGCTTCTGCTATCTCTCATTTTCTTTGTGTGTGATAAAAGCTTTGATTCTTTATGTAAATGTAAGTGCTCACTCTTTAGCTATTCTGGAGAATTTCTTTGTCATTGAGTTATCTTCCATACCTTCCTCAAGCTATCTCCAGGTTTTCTTTTCCAGCATACGATTTCCATTATTAGTGAGATCAAAGGAGGAGAGAGTCTTAAGATAATATGTTTTCTCTTCTTTTTGCCATTTTTATGTCTTTTAATGTCCTTAGAGATTTAATCTATATTTTCCGTTATGCCTGATTATACTTAAAAATCGCAAAATCCTGATGTCTGGTCTATTACAGGGTGTAATCTTTTATCTTGTTCTACAAATTGGCAAATTAAGAGGCCTGATAGGTTTCAAACAAACAGTCACATTTCACTCACTGGTCTTTATTATTTACTTTATTTAGATGCCAGCACACATGTGAAGGAGATTAATTCTTTCATTGACTGAGAAGTGCACCAAGGAGGCACTTCTGTAAATAGTATAACTTGCATTCAAAACAATGCACTGCTCTCAATCTCAAATACATACAGCTCTCTTACATGAGCCATCAAGACTTCTACATTTTTCTAGAAGAACACACATAAACACAGGGACAGATTAGCCTGTGGATGGATGGAAGAATAAGTAGAAAATAAATGGATTTATATAGTAGACAGTCAGGTTATGCCAGGCAATGAGGGTGGGATTTTATATTTTTTTTTTGCTTTATTCTTTTTCTGAGGAGGTGAGGGGGAGAGGAGGGGAAGAAAGATAAGAGGTATAGCTTGCTTTATTTCAGAAGAAAAACTCTGCTCAGTTTCAAATCAGAGGTAGCATACAGCCAAAGGTTTCAGCATCTGGGAGAGAAATGCTTAAGTAAGAGTCTTGTGCTGGGTGCAGGTGCCCAGGTGTTGGCAGCTGTGGGGGGGCTGCAGGGGTGGTCCCTGAAGGAAGAGGCCAGGACACAGCTGGTCCCAATGGAGCCACCACAGGGTACAGCTGAGCCCCTCAGCCACACTGGTGGTGCCTCGGTGAAAGTGTATTCAAGAAAGTGCATAAAACACCAGACAGAAAAAGGAGGAGAGAACAAAAAAGCATGAGAGGAAGGAGGAGGAGATACTACTATAACAAACTAACAAAATTAATTTAAATTTCCACAAGTTGAGCCTGTTTTGCCCATGACAATAACTGGTAAACAATCTCCCTGCCTTTATCCTGACCCAAAGGCTTTCTCCTTTACGTTCTTCCTACTTTTTTCCCCTGTCCCACTGAGGTGGGGAGTGAGTGGCCAGGTGGGTGCTTGACAGCTAGCCATGGGTGTCATGGGCTTAAACTGAAGCCTTAACTTGTGCAAAAGCAGTTGCAAAAAATATATGAGAGTAAGAAGGGAAGCTAGAATTTGCCCCCCTCAGTCCTTCTCTGCAAGTCAACAAACAGTACAAGTTTCCAAGTACAGTTTATTAGATTTAAAAGGTGCTTAGTGCATTTTTGGGGGGTAAAACAATAGAACTGGTAGATATCACCACTGGATGATAAAATACATACAGTTCTGTCTTACAGGGAATTCCTCAGAAAGTTTGGGGCACCATACAAGGCAGATGTTTTTGGCAGTGCAGGGTGGGCCAGTAGATCAAATGAGTGCCATTTGTAACTGTCATTATTATTGCAAAGTTGTTGGTCCCCCACGAGGCCACAGGTGGGGCTTAAAAATGCCTTTATTACTCTAGTTTTTACTTTACTCTCCCCTTCCACATTATGCTCACTGAACACCAGCTCTCTTATTTTACAATAAGAGTTAATTTTATAACAGTATTTTTTCAAGTAACAGACCAAAAATAGTGCAATTAATGTAAATGTCAATACTTTTTTTAGACACTGCTTTTTCAGCATCAGCACAGTAGATTTGCACTTCTGTGTAATAGATCTCCCATGCAAATAACAAGCAGAAATATTTATTTTTTTTCCACGGATACTAAATTTTTGTTGGCCAAATTGTGCCTGTGGGTATAACTCCTAAAGAGAGATCAGAGTCATTTTGTTTCAAAAAGTATTTTCTTGGATTTCTCATTAATAAAATATTATGTATGAGAGTGGATAAAACTGATTTTGTACTGACTGACACATGTGCCTAAGGCACGAATATTATGCAGATGTTCTCAGTAAGACTGGTCTGAGATCAATATAAGAGCACTTAGATCAATGTTCTTAATTTTCAGCTGTGGTGTTTTCAAGCTGTTTCCTTTATAATTAACCAAGCCAACAAATTTTATGAAGAAAACAATATGAAATCACACAAATTTTCTGAGCAGGAAAATAGTCAGATTATTATTAGCACTAAAGGTGTTCGTTATTCATCTGTTACAACAAATTCCTGTTTTCTTTTTTGAGGCAATTATGGAAACCACTTTTAAGATTTTTAGAACAATATGTTTGGGCTATATTTAATTTGTAAAGTGATGTGATTTTCTTGTTAACCTGAACATTCAGATCAATCCATCTGGATGGAAAAAATGGATTGTTTACCATTTTTGGTCATATATAATTTCATTTAGACTATAAAATCTTTGTGATTGGCATCATGTTTTCACATATTTTTGTGCTAGCACAATGGTGGTGTTATATGGATGAGAACCTCTGAATTCACCTGTAAGATCAATTACACAATAGTTGTAGTGACTGTTAGAAAATGCTGACTTCCAGACCGGAGAAAGTTTTTGTTTGTATGATCGATTTTAATCCCAACCATAATATGCAATACAAATGCTAATAATTAAACTGATGTCAGCTCAAACACTGGCAATGTTTGAAAAAGTCTGACTCCCTGATGAGGTGATGCTCCTTGATTCATGAATGTTTCAATTTGCAACAAAAAACAACTATGAAGGAAATAATACTCCAGTACCCAACAGTTCACTAATGTGTTGTAACTAGTTTTTCCTGGAACAATTATATTCTCTCAGAACACATTATATTTGAAGTTACTAAGAAATCTCTATGGCCCAAAATGCAAAAAGAGTTATAGCTGATACAACCTTCCAGCAAAGCCCAGTATAGTGCAGAGTAATCATACGGCTCCTTTGTGTTTACTCTCCAAAATGTTAACAGGTCTGACTGGGATTTAAATATTTAGAATAGAAATGAAATTTTTATAGTTGCTATGGGGACTGTGGGGAAACAAGTAATAGCAACCTCACAGTAAAAGCAGTTTTAGAAGACAGGTGACATTTAGTTCATAAGTGGCAGCATATGTTTTGTGTACTTTCAGCTGCAGAAATGCCCAGACTTTGCCTCACAAAAAGGTGACTACCCTCAACTCCCCATGGGCCAGGTTCTGCTGTCCTTGTTTTCTGAAATAAGTCTGGAGACATCTCATTTATCAGGACAATTGACACTGATTCCCATCAGTGTAGGGTAGCAGAATTTGGGTATTTACTTGTGTTGCTGCGCAGGGTGCTTCAAAACATGTAGAACAAGACCCTTAATTTGCCATATGTTTGAAACAGCAAACTCCCACCAAGGAAATTAGCATACATCTTTGTAATGGTTTTTTTTTGGTGGTATAATTGCTGAATCTTATCTTTTCCTTTTCCCCTTCTTATCATAATGGGCTCTTAGAGATCAAAGGCTGTACAAAATATGAAGAATATGCATATGAATTCCAGAGTGAGAACGTGTCAAGATGTGGAGCTGTGTGGCTCAGACCAACAGCGGGTCACTTGGAACACAAGGCCTCCTGCAGCTTGTTTGTCTATAAGGCTGTGCACAAGCTGCCAGCTCACAGTGGGGGTGCAGCCCTGTCCCTCTGCACCACCTCTCTCCCTGGCTATAGCCTTGCAGATTGTTACCCCTTACTCTTTGCTTTGGAACAGAATGCAGCCTCAGTGCAGCTCAGGGGTTAAAGCAGCAATTCTGTCTGGTCCATGTACTGCTTAAGATGAAAAAAAAAAAAAAAGACAGATGGCTCATTATCCCCCACACCTGAAACAAGACAAGCCAGGCATGCTGCAGTTCAGATTTGTTTGGGGTTTTTTTCATAAAACTGAAAATTAGCAAGTCATAAAGAAGATATTTACTACAGAATGCAATCTTTTATCCTGCTGAATTTGCAGAATGTTATTTATGTAAAACTATAATCAGAAATCATTAAAAGCATGTAGATAAATCATATTAATAATGTGGATTACTTTGGTTTCTATGATTTATATAAAAGCCACTTAGGAAGTTAAAGCGTAGTTATTGGTAGTTTTGTTAAACAACTCTTTATTTTCAGTTAATGCAGTTACTTTAATCCTTAAAAGCACCATCACGACTGCTGAGTTGTAGTATCAGAGAGAGATCATTGTTACCCACAGCTGAATCATTAGCAATCTAGCTAAATATCAAGAGCCAGATTCTCAGCCATCACTCAGATGGGATGAGTGGATGAGGGATAATTTGAGTCTTGGTGCTGTTGTGGCGTAGGGTATGCAAGTCTTTCTTGTGTTGTTCTGGAGTCTTCTCTGACTAGAACTCTCTCTTCACCATTTCTACTGTCTTCTCTAAGGATTTTTATTTATTTAATTATTCCCAAAGTTATCATTTTTGCCAGATACCCGAGGTAACATTGTATTTACAGCTTTAAAGAAATAACATAATGAATTATGTGTGTGGTTCAGATACTCAGGTAAATTGAGGTATTTTGTTTCAGTGACACCATGAGCTGAAAGCAGAGCCATGTAGTTTCTCTTGACTTCTTTCTGGTGTAAGAAAGAAGGTTGCATGAAACCTGCCGTGTTTAATAACTTCCTAAGATCGTCTTCCTACTCACTTAGAGAAAGATGTTTCATGTTGTGTATCATGTGCATTTTAAACAACTTTGACTTCATTTGGAGGTGTGTTTTTTTTCACACAGGCATCCTACAACATATGCCAAAGTCTGTTTGTAGGCTCTGTTTCAGAATTTGCAAATGTAGTTCATTACTTCCATGAAGATTTTATTGTAAAAAGGAAAAAATCCAAGTATTGTGTTGATTTTTGATTTTATATTGTTGATTTGAGCAAACAAATTCAGAGAAAAAAAAAGAAACATCTAAAGTAGATCTGGGCATACATCCAGTACTGAGAGCAGTGTAAAAGTCACACAAGCTAACAAAAGGACCACTGCGGGGAAGGACCGGTGTTACTTCTGATCACTAAGAGCAGAAAGGCTATCTGACTCGGAGCAGAAAGGTTATCTGAGTGATTTATATGTTATTTGGTAGTTACAGTGTTAGTTCTCATGAATTTTCTGTTAGTCAATTACATCAACAAGCATGCCTATAGCTTTCAAAAAGAAAAAGAAAACCACTGAAGGCATTTATACAAAAATATAAATCAAAATATATTCCTAATTGTTTGCAGCAGAGCAAATGAAGTAGTCCAGTTTGGCATTATGAGGTGATGTAATTTTAGGATACCTAGAGCTACTTTTACAAATTTTTAGCATCTTAATTACACTTTTATTGAATTTGAACTGAATAATTAGCTGCATTGAATAAGATGCAACCCCCCCTACACGTGGTTGGATTTAACTGTTGCAGAAAAAGCTTGAATTTACAAAAACTAAGTGTTCAATATAGTAATTGTTGATAATACTAAATTTAATGTCCCTCAAATTAATGATAAAATTAGTAATTACATGTTTAAGTTATTAAAAATAAATAAGAAATCTAGGTATTTGAGCCTCTCTTGAATTCTCAGTGCCAATTCCCAAAAGTAATGGAGGAACTTCTGAGTTTAAAACCTGGTCGTATTGTTAATTGTCAAGATGAATTCAGGTGGGATGGCCACAAGAGCAGAGCTTTAGCACTCAGAAGCATGTAACCTGTAATTTAGTTACTAAGGAGGGTGGGTGTAGCAGTGGAATGGTGATTCCTACTTTAAAATTCCTGTTTTCCAACATGCAAGCTATGCATTCCCACAACCCATGTCCCCAGCCTCTTGTGCCCAGCTCAGACCTGCACCAAGGAGCCAGGAAAACAGACATCCCCTCTGATGGGCCCCCACTGGTGGTAGCTCAACACTGGGAATACAGAAAAAGAGGAAGACATGATTACTGATAAAAATTCTTCTGCTTGCTCAGCACCCTGCCCATGGGCAAGGTTTCTGTCCAGTTGTCTATACTAACATCTTCCTAATTGCAAAACAGTCTCTTCTCCTGTCTATTGCTGCACCATGTATTCCCCATTTTTCAACAACAGCAATAGCTGCAGCAGAGCTCAGATCGTTCTTTAGCACACAAATAACATTCATTCTCAGAACTCTGTTTTTATGAAGCCATATCTGAGTAGTTAAATTGCAGTTAAAACTTTAACAATAATTAAAGATTGCAAATCATAAGCACTTCCCAAATATCGAGTCACCTCCTGGATATAACTATATAAAAAGACAATTGTTATCTAGAAAACAATATGATAAGCTGGAAAGAAGAAAAAAGTAAGGAAAGAAGGATCAGAGGAAACAAAATGGTTAAGGAACAATTGAAAGATACAGACTGATAGAAAATACAGCAGTATCTGAGCTGAAACTTTACGTCTGTTAGCATTTAATGTGCATCATTAATTTGTACTTAAGCAGCTTAACTGCACATGTCAGAGATTGCAGCTAGCTGAAAATAAACAAATAAATAAATAAATAGAACCATTTGATTAAGGGATTTGAATAATACTATTATTAAATACTGTCAAATAATTTATTTGACGAATAGCATTTTGGCTGCTGCAGAATTGGTTGAATATCATAAGAAGTATTTGAATAATTTAGTCAATGAAAAATGACAAAAAATCAATGAATTGTGTATTTGATAAATAGTATGTGGCAAGCTCAACTGTAGACATAATCTCATTTTCTGCATCCTGTATTAAGGAATTTTCTTAGAAAACAGAAACTATAGTCGATATTTTTCCCCCACCCAGATCTTCTTTGGCTGGTTGGGAACTGGAAGAAAGCAACAGATGCTCATTTTGGCTCTTGCAATACTATTCCTCTAGTTGTACGTGAATGAAACTGAAGATTAGGTACTGCCAGTAGAAAAAGCATATTTGACAGAGATCATGACATTAAGGCTGGGAAAGGCTTCATCCTAGGTTAAAAGGTATGACAAGTTCTTGTAGCATTCCACATTTAAAACATAATGGAAATTGTCACTTAAAACCAAAATCCAATTTTTAATTGCACCTCTTCTACATTTCTCTTTGGTACATGTACAATGATGATTGGAGACATGCTTTACTAAAAGTAGTATTTCTTATCATAATAATTAAACATGTCTATATGAACTAGAAATAATGATTACACAAAAATGACAAAACCCCTGATGTTCAACACTTACTTTAAGTCAAATTGACATTTTCAGTATGTATTATTGATGCAGTAGAGTTTTGAGCTGCTTCAACTGATTAGGTGATGATCCTTCATTACTCATTTTTGTGTGTGTGCGTGTCTGTTCTGTCTGTAACCTGAGAATAATGATCATTAATTCCTTAAAGTGTTTTTGGAGCAGCTCCAGAAAAAAATATAATCTAAACTGAAGCCAGTGTTGGTTATTTGAAATCACGGGTTGTCGTCTTTTTCTCCCTAAGAGGTGTTTCAAAGATTTTGCTAAGACATTTTAAAATTGGCTCCAAAGGGACATAGCATGCCGTGTACTGAATAAATCAGGAGGAATTCCTCTGACATCTTGTCTGTTTATGCACTCAAGTACACTTTCCCTTTTTTGTGACAGCTTGATATCATTAGCTAATGTTTATTTTGTGATCTGCAATAGACTCCAGAATTTGACTCGTGAGCCAACTCACATCAATTTTGCATTTATCTTGCCCTTGTTTATTTTCTGCAAACTTTTTATTATACTATTGCCATTACAGGAGTATTTTCACAGAACTGCAGAATGACAGGAACGGTGATTGGTATTTCCCAAGGTCATCTAGTCCAAAACACCAGTTTGAAGTGTGAGTATTGCATATCCTTGGCCAGACCAGCCATGGCTTTGTCTTGCTACCTCTTGAAAACCTCCAAGGAGGAAGATTCCTCTTGGTATAATCCATTCTAGTGATCCACTGCCCTCATAGTGAAAAATTCTTTCCTAATGTCCGATATGACCTTCCTCACATGCAATTTGCTTTTTTGCTTGACACAACTGAGAAGAATTTGAGTAAATTATCCCTTGAAGTAGTTGTAGGTACTCCTTCAGCCCTCTCTCTGTCACACTGAGGAAGTTGCAACCTCTCTTCATAAGAATATGATCCAGACCCCCAAACTGAACACTGTACAATAATTTATAATGTAAAGCTTTTCTTCTAATATATTTGCAGTTCTTCTCAGCTTGTTTTTGTCAACAGACTTCCTATGCACACTGTCTACTCCTCCATTTAGTTCATGAATAAATAAAAAATTAACAGCATCAGATCCAGCACAAGGCTGAGCAGAACCACTCTCAATATGTCTAGCCATTTCAACATCAGCATTTTGTAAAATAAGTAGCTCTTTAGAAATTATATTTTATTATTATCAAGATTATTATAAAAATGTTTTAAACTTATATTCAATTTCTGTATGTCAAAAACACTGAAATTTTTTGGTAGAAGTGATTGAATAGAGAGACTTATTTATGATTTGTCACTGAGTACATATTGAAATTGTTTGCCTTTACAAGTAAAAAGACTCTTTTCTCCTCAACTAGACTTAAAAAGAACTTGGAACCCAAGGAAGTGCTGTTTTGTGCTTTCTGATTTATCTACAATCACCAGTAGTCAAGACTTCATAATAGATGACTGATAAACACTTTTTTTGATCAGTTGATTCTTGTTTGATACTGACACTGGTGGAGGAAATATCTTTTGGAGCCCAGATTGAATCTTTGTGGCTGAAAAGACAGGACCTTTTTTCTGTTTAGAAAACTAGAAAATGTGGTGGTCACTTCATTTGCAAGTGACCAGAAACAGCAATGATCTTTTATAGAGGTGGTTTTAGAGTTGCGGTTTTCTTCACTTGAAAACTCTCTTAGTTTTTTGACAAAATCAAGGAGAATCTCAGCATTGGTTAGGATTATTTATTGTCACTAAGTAAGACCATTAAATGATTTCTGCTAGAATTAGGTGTGCTCTCCCTGGTTTGCCCCCCCCCCCTCCCTCTCAGCTCCTGCCCGGCCTTGGCCACCAAGGCCATCACAACAGCAGCTGTGATAACTTGCACCTGGTCTCTGGGGGATGGCTGGCAGCAGAGTCAAAATACTGTCTGGAGTGGGGACCTAGAAATTTTGTTGCCATGAAAATATGACTATAGGTCAATTATCTTACTGTATAAATAGTGGACAGCCCCAGAGCCCCTTTGAGCTCTCCTGTATGGCAGTGGGCTGCACGCCAGGATCTCCCCTTTGGTGAGGATGCTCACTGAAGGTTCTACTCCTCGAGGTTGAGAGATTTCTTGCTGCAACAGAGTTTCCAGTTCTACTCCTCGAGGTTGAGGGAATCCTTGCCGCAACAGTTTCGGTAAGTGACTAATAGCATGCTAAACTTTGAAATTTTATCTAAGTAATGTAAAGGATTAATTGTGCATATATAATCCTTTAGCCATAAACCGTTGACCAAGTCTGGGACTAGGATTGGATCCAGCCGCACCTAGACTCCTCTCTGAGAAGGAGTTTAGAAAGCAAGGGGGTCCTTTCTGAACCTCGTGACTCAACGGGAGGGTCTCCCTGACAGTTCTGTCTGACCCTGTCCTCTGTGCAGTAAATAATAGAGTGTACCCTGACATCGAATCTTGTAAACACTATCGCATTTACCACTGGTTTTATCACACTACTGGTTTTGTTAAATCACTGTTTCACCTTAATACATATTTCTCTGCTTCACTCTAACTAGTGAAGTTAATCACTCCGTCCGCGACAGGCTGTCATAATTCTCTTGCTCTTGCTAGATCATGAACAGAAGATGTTAAAGACAGCAAATGTTGGTTTGATAAGATGTGAAGGACTTAGAACTTGAGAATAGTACACAAATTGAGTACTAATGGTATGTGTGTGGGGGCAGTGTGTTTAGGGAGCACTTAAAAAAATCACATACATATATAGATTACTTTTGTTGATCAAGAGGGCAACATAGTGTTTGTTTCCAGCTAACAACCGTAGTTATCAGTATGTGTCAATGGCAAATAAAAACAGTCCATGCACTGATTCAGGACAGGATCTTCATCTCTGCTGGATGCTGCACCTCCTCATTCTGTGCCTCCATATCTTCAGATCCATATTCCTGTTGAGTTCTCTGCCACTCTCCATGCTTCTCTGTTATTTAAGGTTGTTTAAGGTTGCAGGGAGCCAGCATATCTGACTAATGCTGTTCTCCATTTACCATTAAGATGTCCTGGTTAGTGCCTGGAGGCATAAAAGATATGAATTCAGCAAGAGATGTAGATCAGAAGAAGAAAAAAATTTTCAAGGCTGAGAAGTTCCCCTGGCCTTATAGAACTTGAAAGGGAAGGGCAGGAACAGCAGCAGAGGTTTCTGTCTGTTTGGGACCTCGGGCACTAGCAGTTCCTTAGTGTGTGCTGTACCCTACCTGTACCTCATGTTTTAATTTTTCTGAAGATTGAAATATTTTGCTGACTACACTAAAGTTTTTTCACCTGACAGAGTATATCTGAGAGAAACCTAGTGACTTTTGATGTGCAGAGGGACAGACAATGTAGTAATTGAAATTTCTAAAGAAGGATGGCACAGCAGGGTATAGAGATGAAAAGGTGTTTTTGAGGCCTTCGGCTGCCTGTGTGTCTGGAATATGCTGCAGCTCCCTGTAGGCTGCTTGAGACCCTGCAGATTTTTCTTTGTTATTCTGCATTTGCACCTTAGGAAGCAATGGTACGTGTAGGATCATGTAATGGTATCTCTGGATTTAATTTGTATGAAATGATGAAAGTCTCCAAAGGAGTAGAAATTTTGTGGTGTCTTATACAGAAGCGGTTCAGGTCTGACATTAACTGTGGAAGACAGAAATTGTGCAGAGTCTGCCAAAACCTGAGTATATTTTGCTGCACTTTAGTGACACAGACAGGATGAAATACTGCCTTCATTGCAGTCAATGAGAGGTTTGTGCTCGACTTAGTAAAGTCAGGAGGTCATCCACAGAGCCAAATCAGATGTTAAAATAAGCCTTTGGCCTTCTTTGGATTCAGCAATTACTCTAACCACTGTCTAAGTTAGATAAAAAATTTAACAGCATGCATTTAAACATCTACTTAATAGTTTAACTGTTATCCTGGTGGAAAGGGTCTCATTCTTGCCTTTTCTTGGGGAGATGAAATACAGAATCTCGTTTTAGTCTTCCAGAGTAGTGAATATTGTTTGAAAAGTCCCAATAGCAACAACTCATTTCTTTGTCATATGTAGAAGTATATTTTACCAGTTTGCTCACATGCTAGCTTAACCCAAAAAGTTAACAAACACACAAAACCAACAAAACCAGACAAACATTCAAATGCGATACCTAAAATAACCTATGGAAACATTGCCTTTACTCCTTAATCTGTAAACAATGCTGTATCAGGAAGCAGTTGACAGAGCAGCTGTCATTAACCTGAGCGTGTTGCCAGGTCTTAGCAATAGTGGTATATCAACAAGCTGCATTTGCTAAAACTGCAGTGTTTCTGGCATAGGACCAAGCAGTTTTTAGGCTGCGGAGTGATGACAAGGGGATTCACTTGCCTGCACAATCAGATGACTGCACACCTCTCAGCTGTCATCGAATGTAACAGCTTTGACAAATGTCACAGGCACATGCAAGCTTGTGGGGTACGTTATCTCACTTGCCCTCTCATTGCATTCAGAGAGCACGGAGTGAAAAATATCCGGAGGACCTCTTTGAGACCAAAAAAGAGCCATCACACAGTATTATAAGTTACATTTTTTTCTTGAAGCTACAGGGTCAGAATGTCTGTTTATTTCAGTGAAGAAACTAGGGATTTAAAATAAAACCTCCTTAAAATTGGTGTCTTAATAAGTGAGTGAATTCATGTATGTCATGTCTAATTCAACCACAGGTAGTCTGCCTTCTAGCTGTCATGTTGTGCTTTCAGGATAAGATACAGTAGTTTAGACAAGTATATTTTCCCCACATTCAGTTGCAATCCTATTGAAATTTAAAAAAAGAAGTGATGGATTCAAAATCCAGTGCAGGCTATTTAATTTTGTTAATGAAAACTGGAAGTATCCCATGTGGGGATATTATGCTTTTAGAACCTTCATATCCTTGCCCAAAGCTGAAGTCATAAAAACTGCACAAAACACATTGTAAAGACTTTGAGGGGGAGCTACTCTAATATAAATAGCAGATATATATATATATATATGCCACTTTCAGACAGCAGGTAATATGTTTTCATAGGCTTGTCACGAAGAGCAAACAAAAACCAGACATTAGTTTTCACAGTGAACTGAGGGCTTTTCCCATTAAAGTCTATGTCAAAACTTATATTAACTTCAGTTCTGTCAGAGCAGAGCGCTGACACCTTGCAATGCCAGAACACGTTTCAACATTTTGTTGTTGCTGTTGCATTTTCCCCCTCATGTTTCTGCACCTTTCATTATAAAGATCCACTGACTTTCTCTCAGTTGGCTCAGAAAAAGCATCCTGTTAATGAGAACAGTAGTTTTGAGCTGTTCAAGCATAGTTTTCAGCAATACTGTTCTGAACGTTCTTTTAAATGATACTATTAGAGTTTGTGCTCTGACTGTGCTACGCCACAGAGAACTCAATTTCTTTTACATGCAGGGTAATGAGGGAACATTAAGAAGCAGATATGGAAGCTCGCAAGTGTCGTGACCGAAAAAAGGGAGAGAAAAGTGATGCTGAACGGTCTAATGGAGGAAGGTTGAAGTAGTGAAGGGCAAAGCATAGACTTAACAAAATAGAAAGAACAAGAAAAGACAGTAGAGGATATGAAAGTCCAGGGGGCTACCTTTAATCCCAGGACAGCAGATAGCAATTTAGGTTTCAGTGTACATCTACACAGCGTGTAAAAATATTTACATGTAAATGCATGTATTAGATAAGGAATAATTAAATAAAAATGTAGGTACATGCAAATTTAAGTAAAAATATTGACATGTAAAATATTTACATCAACTCACCTTTCTGTGAGAAAAGGGGAAAGAGAGAGGGCGAGAGAGACATAGTATACTTCACATTTGCCATAATGAAGATGAGCAGAGAAGCACATCTTCAGGGTGTCTGTTGACTTATCCACATTTCAATACAAAATTTAAGACAAGTTAAATATGATTGCTCTGTTATTTCAAGGCAAAAAATGGATCTCATTACATGAAAATAAAATAATACGAAGATAGTTGTACTAGTAAACTGAACTCTTCCTGGAGTATCTGCTGCTACTCTGACAGAACAACATGAAATTCCCTGTAGATTAAAATGTAAATTTTATGGAACAAAACCAGCAATACACAAAAAGGCATAGAGTCTTTCTGATAACAGCTTGCAGAAACACTGCAATGAATCATGCAATACCTTCAAGTATCAATCCTATTCTCACCTTCCCATAAAACATCTGCTGGTAGTCAGGCCTTTTCCGATTTGAGTTTTGGGAGTGGAGAGGAGATGCCTTCACAGTATCAATTGTCGCTCTAAGTGATTTTGGTAAATTTAATCTGAGCCTGTCTACTTACTCAAAATATCATGGGCTCAGCAAAACCTACTCACTAGGTACTAACAATGAAACAAATCTGGTCTGTGGTATTTTAAATATATGCAGGCTAAGGAAAAAACTTGTGCAATGGCTGTGGTAGCTTAAGGGTTGTGAAGAAAAATAAGATATGTACATTGACAACTTTCTTACTACTCTTAGGTATGCTTAGAATCAGGAAGAGATAAATTTGAAACTTTAAATAAGCAATACAGTATCCACAAGGTACGTTTATGAATAGCCTATGAAAGTATATTTATTGCATTTGCACCTGAGAGCCCTCCTGTTGTTTCTGATGGAGTCTATTATAGGGGCTTTTAAATAGGTTATGAATGTAAGCATGAAATATAGACGTTTTGAATTAACATAGATTGTCACATTCAGATATATATTATGACAGTTGTAGGGGTTTTTTGTTTTATTCATATTATCCCAGACACTGGAGATAATTTTAATTCGGAATACTAACAACTAGCAGAACAGTTGTTAGCAGAACAGGGAATGAAGTGCTTCTTAGCTAATCTGAGTGAGGAGCTGCAAATGCAATGCACAGCATTTTGTTTTCCTGCATTGTATCTCTGGGCAAGACTGGGAGATGTCATAACTACCAGGATTTGGTAGATGGTTATCCTCCCTAGGCTCCCTCTACAGGCAAACTAGAGAGAGTGGAAGCCTTTAGATGACAATCCAAGAAGACATTATGTAAATTCCTTCATAGTACTTGTAACTATCTGAAACGACTAGAAATCACTAGGAAGAGTATTTGACTCAACTTTTTAATTTGGGTGCCCAAAGTCAGGTGGTACGAAAGCCCTTGTGTTATGCCATCTTTAAAACATTGTCACTGCTTCTCAGTGGATTTTCAAGCCATGGACAACAAAAGCATAGCTACAAAGGCAATTTAGTATCATCACACTTAGTGTGATCCTAATAGCAATATCTCTGTCCTCCAACTCCTACTGTGTCCCTACAATTTTTCTAGGAAGACCCACAAATGTGAACTGCATTTCCTTGGAGATATTCAAAAGCCATCTGGACATGATCCTCTCTAAGGCCACCACCTCTGTTCTGTGTTGAGATTGGACATGATGTCGAGATGTCCCTTTCCACCTCAATCGTTTTTTGAGCCTGTGATTCTTGATTGCGTGAAAATGCTTGTGATGCACTTCTAGTTGCTTGAAATAATAGTAATTTTGATTAAGTATTAGAACATGTCACCTGAAGACTCACGAAGGTCTGATCTGAGCTCCAAAATGCTGCAAAAAAGTCCTAGAGCATTTTTTCCTCCTAGGTTCTGCTGTTGACTGCAGGTCATTAAGGATAGATAATATCCCAGTCTACTCAATGGCAATTGAGAAACATTGCATGTACATCTTGATTGCTTCTACCAAGATGTCTGACCAAGCATTCTGTGTCAACAGCAGCTGTTAAACAGTTTCAGGATTATGACGTTCAGTGTATACCACAGAGATTAAAACCTACAAATTAAAAATAAAGAAAATATTTTGCAGGCAGTGTAATTAATTACATTTATTAAATGCTTGATAATTGTTAATGGTAACATCCTATCATGACCAACTGAGGGAAAATAGAGATTACACAGAACATATGTAGCATCTAACACCATAGTATGTCTGTCTAGTTCTTTCCAGGCATACTTTTAATATTTGTCTATATTAAAACCTACTCAGTTAGAGCCGGTTTTGCTTGTGAGTTTGCAGAAGATAGGTATCCATGTTCTGTGTTCCTGAACAGCAAAGAACGAATTCATAGTAAAGCAGGAAAAGATTAAGTTTCTTTTTTAATTGTTGGATAAATTGATGTAGTTTATGGCACTGTAGCTTAAAAACAAAAAAAGGTGAGGTTAATCGAGTGTGTGTTGTTGAAAAGCAGACAAAAATACTATGTCTTTTTCTCTTTGCCAAGGAGGGTACAGTCTATTCTTACTTCATAGAATAACTAAAACAAATTTTGAATGATTCATGAAATAAATAAAAACACCTGTGATCTACTGCTCAGAGAAAATACAGACAGTGTTGTGCTTTCATATGTAGGAGAGCTGTATCTACAGTTGCTGTGAAAAATACACTCTGACAGTCTAAATAAAGTCCAAAAAACCTCAAACATCTTCACATTAAAACCAAAATTAAAACTATCCACATCACAATATTTTCTATTTTCTTTGCTTTCCTTAGGAAGGCAGTTACCTGGAATCACTGAAAAAACCAGAAAACCTTCCTTCTCATCAAGACTCCAGCTGCATCCTTTAACCTTTAAAGTAAAAGGTGAAATCTAGAAAGCATATATTTCAGTTGAACCTTCGAAAGAACTTGACAACTTCTAGGTAATTTCTTCATTTATATCCTTTTCATTTGACTGTTTTTTAAATTTTTTTTCTCTTTTAATCCACAAACTGGTTTGTGTAAAGAAAAATAAACTGGAGTTGGAAAAGTCAGATCAGAAGATGAAAAAAGCAGCTTCTCAGGGAAACAGAATGATGTTTTTTATCCTGTTGTGCAGCACAGCTGGAGTGCTCTCAGGAGCAGAGAATGTTCATGCTGAAAACACAGTGGAAAAATCAATAGCAGTAGGAAGATCACACTTTTATCATTTTAATGATCATACTCAGCAAAAAGTTTAGAGTTCTGACTACAACATGATCTTAAGTGAGAATGGGTACGACTGGAAAGACGAGCATAATGTCTGTTGAAACCTTTGGCTGTTATTTTCTGCACCCTTATATGCGGAAAGTCTGCTTATGTATCTATCAAGAAAGAATTATTCATGACTAGAGACCATGTGGTGCAAAAGAAACATACTTATGATGAATTATGTTCAGACTTCTAGCTAGGAGTAAAAAGTGCACGGGTCAAGTCCTCTTCTCATTGGAATGTGAGAGTTTTACCCGCAAACAGATTGCACGTTTTTTTCTGTGGCTTTAGTGTATTGTGCAAAAGTAGTGAATCATGCAAAAGAAGGGATCCTTCAGGAGACCAGACTTTGCATCTCTCGTCAGCTTTGAATCAGTGAGAAAAATCTTCTCTGACACGTCAAACTCCTTCCCTTCATGCAAACCAAGGAAAACATCAGATCTCATTCCTGGCCTTACTCTTGCATCTTTTTCCTGATTTAAAGGGAAATATGTATTTTCAGCATACATATAGGAACCATAGGAAGCACTACAAATAAATTCAGAAAGAACTCTTAGTTTATAAAAAACTGATGCCTATTTTAGTTACATGGCAGAAAAATATGCAAATCCCTTTATATGAAGAAATTATTGTTTGATCTACAGTTATTTACAGAAGAGATTTACTAGAAAAGGACATTGCTAGAATTTTTGACATCTCTGATTTTTCAAGCTGTCTGTGATGCCTCCCGGCATTAATTACATTTAACTGGGAAATGTAAAATAATGACGTTTTCTGAATTATTTAGGAGATATATATTTTAGTTTTATGAATAGGCAGTTTTATTTTGAGTTGTACCTTATAATCTCTTTTGGTAATAAGTAAAAGTCCACTCAAAAATACGTATCGTAGTTATGATAAACAGGGACATTTTTTAACTTTTACTCTCCCTCTGTTGGCTATTGTGTGCTTACTTTGGTCTTCTTATTTAGGGTCACAATTTGACTAAATGTCATGCAAACAGGAAACAACAGAGTCCTGAGCAAGATGTTTTGAGAGAGAATTGGGGTAAGAAAAACATAGCTTTTGAAAGATTGACCATAGTCTTGAAAGATTGCTAACTCCTTTCCTAAACTGTAGGAGACAGAGAGAAAAAGAGGGTCAGAAGGGTAGAGCTGTACAAACAGCTTTTCCTCCGCTTCACATCCCTCATTCAAGGACAACAAAAATATAAAATATATTATACATATATTTTTGTGTATAAATATGAAAACATGTTATGCCTGGCAATCCTCATAAAAGTGCACTATACTGCCTTTAGTAAGTTATAATTTTAAAATCACAGTTTATTCAACTATTTTTTTTCCCTTTTCACCTGGATATAAGCTTTTCAGTTTATCTGATTCCGTGCTGAAAACTCATCAGTTGTATCTCAGAACTTTCTTTACTTTCTCTAGTGCACTCGTGGTAGGTAACTATTGTCAGTATAAGTTCAGAATTCTTCCAATTATTTAGAAGAATGTGCTGCTGTTATAATTGCTAACTATATATTATTTCTCACTGGTCTTAAGTGGAACCAATTTTTTGACTGTTCAGGATAATCACTTCTTAAACCTTTCTGAAGTAAACTTGAATTTTAATAAAGGATTCCTACCTTCAAACACATGAACCCTTCCAATACTCACATTGAGAACTTTAGATTTAATGTACTTATTTGTTGCTGAAAGGTGTGAAAGGGTCAGGAATGAAAATACGGATATTGTGCTAATGCTGGCAGTTTCAATTCTGCATCTGTTGGCTTCTCCATATTGCGGATGAACTCTGATAAATTACACCAATTTATAATTCTAAAGCAGTCCCATGTGTATCTTTTTTTTTTGCATTTTGGTATGTATCTGCAATGATACAGTTTTCCAGTTCCTTTTACACAGCCAATCTAGCAGACTTTTTCACTCTAATTGTCATGCTGTGCATGAGGACTGCATTAGGATGTGGGCAAAGGCCTTTATGACAAGTCTTATCTCAGCTAATGTATATTTTCATCCTGCAAGTCTGAGCATGATGTGGAACAAAGCATGGAGAGTTATTTTTTTTGTTTAACATAAAGTCTTAGGAAAAAGTCTGGTAAGTATCTCAGGAGGTCAGCTCATCTTGTCATCCCAAAGACTGCAAGGATATAGAGAGGCCTCCATGCAGGGAGATATAAGGTTAAAATTCTACATACCACACTCTTAATATATATTTAATAACTGTCTAATGCATGATTATACTTTTCAGTTGTACTTATACTGTCTTATCAAAATGCAAAAGACACAGTCTTTAAGAGGAAAGATTAGTGTGTTGACTGAAACTTAACTCACCATTGCCTAATTAGTATATTTTTCTTCTTATTATTTATTTTTCCAGATGTTCTTCCAGCATAGATTTTGTGCAATTTTAAAAAAAACTATTTGTTTCTCTGGTCCACAGGGATATTTTTGATTAAGTTTTACAAGGAGTCATACTGTTATATCTTACATGATTCAGTATTTTCAGTGTAAAGACAACTATTTCAAGTATGGGGAGGATTTTAAGGTTTTGGTTTATTTTTATTTATATGGTGTTTCTTGACTAAGAACACAAGTTAAAGTAAAATACTGGATTTTTTTCTTCTGATGTTTACATCCATTTATCAATAATGTCTTTAAGCTTACACCCCAGTCAAATATTATTTTAAATTAGTTTAGGATACTTATCAGTGAATCTTTCAAATTTTAATTGCTGATGAGTATGAACTCATGGACATTTCTTAAAGAAATCTGCATCTTTAGTACCATAAACTTGACCTCTCTAATAAAAATGTTTCATCACCAAGAGTAAGCTTCATCCTACATTACTATTCATCATTACTTCTGTCACATCAGACTTTATAATGGAATTAAGTGATGCTTACATATTTATTGCTGTGTAATTTCATTATACATCACTGAGTTTTATGACATTTCTAAGTAAATTAATTACATTGGTCTCCCTGCTTCCCAGTCTGTACGCTTACAGGGTATTTGAATTAATAACTGTATGTCTCCTGAACAGGAGAGGTGGACTCGAGATACTTCTGCACTGTAGTATGCAAATTCCATTAAAATGTTAACAATAAAATAAGACGAGAAGACCTGCAGTAAAAATAAGTGGAAACAGATTTAATCAGGCTTTAATGTGTATAATCTGATACCCTGCACCTATGTTCTGTATGAAAAAGGCACTGAGAACATATTTAAATAATAATCACTCTGTGCAGTGTTAAATAGAATTATGAAATATTGACTTAAAGCGCCATTTTTTGTGGCACTAAAACATGATACATCTGTCACATGTTAGTTCATATCATGTAGTAGTTCTAAATAATATTCAGAATTAATTTATACTTCCAATAATAAAAATGATTTTGCAATAAGTGACCTTATACAATAAAAATCATATTAGGCATAATTTAATTAGATGGATGTTTCAATAGAAAATGCATGCTATTTTAAAATTCTTTCTTATATTTAACTAACTTATAAGTGGAAATGTTTCAGTGGTAATGATATTCTTGCAGGTAACAGCAATAAGGAAAAAAAAATAGTTGGAAGAAGTAACACCTATAAAGGGATGCAAACAACCATATAAGCATTCGACATATCATATGAGCATTTAAGGTAATATTCAACATCTCTTGTTTTCCTAAAACTTTTGTTTTTAATAGATATAAATGGAACAGAATATTAACAATAGTCATATTAAAGTCCATCTGGTAGCTTATTACACACTTGTATAGTTTGCAAAAAGAAATACTTCATAATATATAAAAAAGAAATACTTCATAAATACCGCAAAGAGAAAGCTTCATAAGAAAAAAACCTTTTGTATCATGTTTGCTGAACATTATACAACTCAATATTATATAAAGCCTTCTGCTGCTTTCAAACTTCTAGAATAGTTCTCCATGAAAATATGCCAGAAAAATTGGGTCCAAATTTCAACAAGGATTTGACCTTCCGTGCCTGCTAGTAGTTTTGTGTGAAATGTTGGCAAACGGAGTGGGTTGTTACAGTCTGAACAAGTAAGTATCAAACCTTCTTTCCACTGTGCCCTTTGGTGTGGAAAATTACAGCCATCTTCAATTTGAAAAATGACCATCTTGCTTTCCTACTTTTTGTTGTTGGCTTTGTGCTCCTTTCAGAAAAGGCATGAAAGGTAAAAACTAAAGTGAGATTGTAGGAAAAGAGGGATATGTTTTATTTATCATACAAATGTGCATACATGTACCTGTATGTACTGACATATTCCTCTTATTTATAAAATGCAGTGGAGGTGGGCAGCTGTAAGTTTTTAAATAAGCAGAATTTCCAGAAGTGGTTAATGTTTCCCTTAGTACTAAAGTACATTAAGGCAGGTTCATAATTGCAACAGTTTTTATATAAAAACAGAAACAGGAAAGTGGTGTACTGCCAATATCATTTCTTTGTGTTTTGAACACTGTTGAGGCTGCTACATACTCAGATACTAAAAGTAGAATAAATATGAGAGATGCCCTCTTTTGGACTGTGTAACAGGTTTAAATATATTGCATTAAACCAAAATTGATCCCAGTCTTCACTATCAGCTACTAATAGTTGCATGAGCACAGCCACAGTCCTGGCTGTGAAGTCCTATGTCAAGCAGATTGCATAGATCATTGTCCAAAATGGGAGATTAGACTAAATGCTGGGTTTCGTGCCTTAATTGTATCCATATGTGGTTTATCACTGAAATTTGACAGAGGAAATTTAAGTACTGAAGGTTAGGTTTGAAAGTTAACGTTATTATTTGCAATGCTGAAAATGAATGCTGTTCACAATGACTCGGTATCCATGGATACAAATAACTCATCTAAAAGTTATCTGGAAGATGGAAGATTACATCTAGGAATTCTTTTCTGTGTGCTATTTGTTCATTGGGAGCTAAAGATATATTTCCTAAAAATTCAGTTTTGATATACAGATCGTTGTGAAGGGGTCACATGGATAACTAACTGATTTAATACCTTCATTGAGGTACACTGGTACTTAAAAAAATTTGCAATAGTAAGGAATATTAATTGGTCACTATATGACAGTCTCAAGGTAATATCTTTTGTAAAATGATAACGTAATTTCATGGTTTTTAAAAGGTAATGTTTTGAGATTAAGAGTAAAGCAATATCAGTGTTGGTTATGGAAAGTTATAGCCATGCAAAATTATTACTTTGGAAGATGTGAGCTTTTATTTTTAAATGATTAAATTGATGGTTATTTTATATGCTGATAAGGATTTGACAAATAACTAGGATGATGTTTTTAGATGTGATTTATTCCCATGATCGGTGTTGAAGATATGCAAATAGAGCTCAATTCAAATGTTACCTCCAGATTCCTGTACCAGAATTTGATCTAAAATGTCTATTTGTTCATCTATCTCCTGAAGGAACTAAAAAGAAAAAATCTTGCACTGTGGATGAATATATATCTAAATTGCATTAGTCAAGGCACCTCTTAAATTTTAAAAGGACAGTTTTTTACACCCATGGTGATTATGACAGTTATTGGGTAACATCCCCAGAACAGGCAGATGGGTGAACAGTGGCAACTGTTAGTACGTTCAAAATTTTTATTGCCTGAGGTTATTTAAAAACTCCTTTCTGTGGGGGTTAAATCTCATGAATGTCTGTTTGGAAATAAATGCATACTAGAGGAATGCTTTCAACTTGAATTTTAAGTAAATAATGTTGAAGTCTATCATAAGATATAGCCAGCATTTTCCCATTCTCCATGACTCCTCCTTTGCATAGATAAGGTGGCACAAGGATCATGCCAGCTTCTTAAGATATTGAGAATATTTTGCAGTATATATGTTTTGCACTGTATGCAAAATACTGATCCTTTACATTTTCAACACAATAGTCAAGGAACCTCAGTATCAAACACAGTAAAAATGTGAAAAGCTCAGGGTTTTGGGGTCTTTTTTGTCATTCAAAAGCCCACCTTTGATTTTCAAACATAAAATAAAGACTGAAACTGTGTTTAAGTAGCTCCTTGGTTCTGGCTTACACGGACCAAAAAGTTTAAAAAGGAAAAAAAAAGAAATTAGGCTACCTTTGCACCTGTCAGTGCTGCACGCTGGATTTTTATATCATCACCCCTACAAAGCACTTTAAATGGAGTCAAAGACAAGCTGCAGAGTACATTAAGTTATTAAGATAAGATTTAAGTCAAGAAATTGGTTCAATGCATATGTTAAAATTAGAAGGAGAATTTTGTATTCACTGGCCATCACTTGTTTATCAGGTCTTGTGCTTAAAAATAATTCATTGCTTAGCAATGACTGGGGGCTGAGTTTAGATGGAATAAAAATGATATTTTTTTTTTTTTTGGGACCTAAAAGAAAAAGACGTGAGATTTAGGGAAGGGCAGAATAGGAAAAGGTGTATTCTTACGTATCTGCATAGGTTTGCAACATACCATTAGCGAATGTGCTTGTGCAACTGGGACTTGTTTTTGTATGAAAATAAACCAGCCTAAAATGATAATGAATTCAACAAGTAATGACCAAGTCTTTGTAGATGACTAGACCTATTGCTTCAGGCACAAGCATGGGCTCTTAGAGGAAAAGACATTTAGCTGTTATTTTTTTCCATTGTTGAATTTTTCCTGCAGTGCATGAGGACAACAGAAAAATAAGGAAGTGGTACTGTGCTTTTCTAGGAGAAACTCCAGTGTACTTTCTTAATGGAGCATAAGGAACGATACCTTTTGTCAGGAAAAAAAAAAAAAAAGGAAAAAGATTCTAAATGGCTTCAGCAGTTCAGCAGTATGGTTTATGAAACAATAAAAAAGTCTGGAAATTACTATGCCAGAATCTTGGTAAACATGCTAATGAATGAAGGAAAAAATCCTTTCACCTATGAATTATGAGAGCTTCATATTTGCCAAAGGAGTTAATGCATGTCATATTATTTAAAATATTTTTGCTCACATAATTACACAAAGATTTTTAAGGGAGTGGAACATCTCTCACGCAAGGAGAGTCTGAAGGCTGGGACTGTTCAGCCTTAAGAGAAGGTTCAGGGGGATCTTATCAATGTGTACAAATACCTCATGGGGGTGCAGAGAAGACAGGGTCAGACTTTTTTCAGTGATGCCCCTGTGAAAGGATGAGAGGCACTGGGCACACACTGAAATATTGGAAATCTCATTTAAACAAAAGAAAAAAACCCCTTATTTTCTATAAGGGTGACTGAAAATGAACAGGTTGCCTAGGCTGGTTGTGGAGTCTCCATCCTTGGAGCTATTCAAAACCTGACTGGACGTGATCCTGAGGAACCTGTTTTTGAGCAGGCTGACCTTGCTCTGAGCAGAGGGTCGGAATAGAAAATCTCCCTTTCAACCTTAGTGATTTTGTGACACGTTTTCTATTACTGTGGATGAATAAGCATTCTGAAGAAGAAATTGTTCTGGCAGAAAAATGTAGAATTGACTCATCTCCATTTGTCATTCTTGCCAGTTAGAGAAGTTGCTTGCATTCTTTATTTCTCTTGCTTGAAAGTGGCCCTGCCCTGCCAGTGATTGCAACGACAATGAATTTGTCTGACATGTCTTTTGATTTACTCTGGCAATAAGCATCCACAAAATATTGTACTTGCTGCACAATAAACTATGCGTCTCGGGAGCCTTTGCATAGCTAAAACATTATGGGCTGGGTCAGCACAGGCGCTCCGACTGTCAGAAAAAAAGTGCTCTACTGGAGAGCTTTTAGTTTTCTGCTGGGCACAATCCTCCTATGAACAAGCTGTTCAACAAAATTATAGCTTCATACACACGTGAAAAAAAGAAAAGAGTGTTTGTCCCGACACAATCTGCTAAACTCTGACCAAAGATAGGGATCAATTGACTAACAGGAACAGAAAGCAACCAACACTATATATAAATTATGATGTAAGAATGTTTTTTAAATACGTGAAGCTGCCTTTGTTTTCAGTGTTTGTGCACTCAGTTTTTATTACTGCTCAGTCTTAATTCAAGAACACATTTGTATTCAGGAAAGTATTTATAGCATCTGAATAAGTTTGGGCTTAAAACAGCAGAAAAGTAAGTAAGTTATAAGATATAGCAAGGACAAACTACTAGTCTAGACATGGAAAACATGATATTGAGATGACAGAAAGGCTTCTGTTGGACACAAACTGAGAAAGTCATCCTGGAGCCATAAACCTAATTTAGATGGTCTAGCAGACATAGATTCTTATGTATGCGAATGGCAGGAAATCCCATATTCCTTCACATCATAGAATTTTGCCTGTTATATCTCAGGGCTGGTCCTGTGTGACTTGGAATAGTTGCTGTAAGTCCTCCAAATTGCAGAGGATGCCCAGCTGGTAGGCTAGAAGCTTTTAAAGCATGCTTCTGGGGAAGTGATCCAAATCAAAAAGATATGGATACCTGCAAGGTCTTGTCAGAAAACGCTTTTTAAAGACAAACTTAATTTTGATACAGTTTAAATTATAGCAATGGAATTATATTAAAGACAAGTTTTATTTGTTATGGTTTAAATTCTGGCTGCCAGAGGATTAAAGAGCTACTTTCCACTGAAAAAGCAAGAATTTGCTTTTATATTTTACCTGAATGATGTAATGAGACTGACTTAATAACTACAGACTGAGAAAATGATATATGTTGGCTGTGACCCAGGTAGGATATTCTCTGTTAACTTAAAAAAAACCATGTTAAAATAGATCCTTTTTCAGTTGGTTTTACATTATAGAACTGTACTGAGCATGCTATAAGTGCCCATTCATTACATTACTGTCAATCGTTTCATGTGAATAATTTACAGCAAATGATCTCCAAAAAATCAATACCAGGGTTCTGAATTTACAAAGCCTTTGGATCTCTAGAATTAAAGCTTTTATATTAATTAGAAATACATCTTACTTTTCCCCTGCCATGTAGAGAAGAAACCAAGGCCAAGAAACCTTTCAGAGTCTTAATAAATATTAGTAATTATTGGTTATCTACTTAAATATAGTGTGCTATCCTTACATCCTGA